GAATGAAACTCTGGTGAGACTGGGGAAAGGAGGCGGGAGAAGGCAGGGGAGTGGATGGGAGAGGGGAGGGGGAAACCTGGGAGGAGGGAGCTGGAAGGCAGAAGCAAGGGGAAGAAGGGGGAGGAAAAGCTCAGGGTTCAGGGTTGGGGGTCTTGCCAGGCCAGCTGTCTCCCAGCACCACAGGTGTGGGGGCCTCCGTGTCTCCAGGGGGTTGGGGAGGGGATAGAGGATGTGGAGGGAGAAGTGTGAGGGGCAGAAGGAGTGGGAGGAGGAGTGGTAGCTGGGGAGGCAGCAGGAGCTGGACCAGCAGGAGGCAACACATTCTGCACCACAGTCTGCAGGTGCTGGCAGATGGCATGGCCCTGGGCAAGCTGCTCCCGCCGGAGCTGCAGGTCTTCTTACACCCAGTGCTGGAGGGTGAGGGCAGGGCTTGTAGTGCCCCCAGGTGCTGCTGTTGGTACTCCTCCACTGCACGGGTGGTCCTGCAGAGCCCTTGGGTGCGGGAGCATGTCCCGAGTGGTGTGGTGCACCCTGCAAGCACAGCTGGTGAGGCTGTGGAGAAACAAGAGAAGTGGTCAGTAATTCATGGGGGGACAGTGGGTGAAGCCCAGCCCCCCTCTGCAAGGTAAGGATGACCGTTCCCTGCACCATCAGAGCCAATGTGCTTCCACAGAGGCCATGTTCGGAATGTCTTGCTATCCCCAGGAGGGGGAGCTGCTCCGAGACCACACCCATGCCCCTGTGCTATATATAGTGTGTGTGTGGGGGGGGAGGGAAAGTCCCCTGCTTCTGTGTAGAGTGGTCTTGTGGAGGGAGAGTTTCCTGCTGTCCCCCACCCCAGAGTCAGGAGAAGGTCATGCCTCTTCACACAAGCATGTGGCTAACAGGGTAAGGCCCCTTTGTGGCAGCCAGCTGGGGCCACATGCCCAGGGGTGGCATGGCACATGCTCGCACATGCACAGGTTGCTGCGTGATCCATGGACAACAAGGCCCACACACGCAGTCCCTGGTTTCCGTCCCCTACCCTGCATAAGGGGACAGTGATGGCACTCACCTGTTGTTGCCTCCCTGGCCTCAGATGACAATGGCGACAGGTCTGCTGGGGTGGCTCAGGGGTCCTGGCTGCTCAGCATGCTCCGTCTGGTCTGCTGCAGCTCCTGGCTCTCCTCCTCCTCCTCCTCCTCCTTGATGCCCTGGTCAGGGCCCTTTACCCCAGGGTTGACAGCTACCTGCGGGGCACAGACAGTCCCACCCCCCAGGATGTGCTCCAGGGCATTGAAATAGGGGCAGCTTGGTGTGTGCACCCCTGGTTGGGAGCTTGTGACGGCGCGTTGGGGGTTCCCCGTCTCCTGCACCCCGAAATGGCACAAACAGACTGCACCAGCCGGTGGAATAGAGGGAGTTTATTGCCTCTCGAGGATACAGCACAGCACAGATGTAATCTGGCCATAGAGCTCGGCTAAGATTGCC